CCCCCCCCCCCCCCAACCCTCTATTTACCTCCCTTCTTTCCACCTTTACTAGATTTCTTAGTTCTCTCTCTATATTGCCCTATTGCCCATATATTGCCCTATTTGATTTGATGAATAATGATTAAAAAAATTTGTTTGATATTTGTTTAATATTTGTATAATAAAATGCATTCAATGTTAGTATGAATAATTTCCCCACTAGTCTACAGGAATCTATCTTTTTTGCCTCGGCTATTCCATGGCGTACAATCAAGGGGGTAGCTTTGCTCTATGAATGCTAATTCAAAGTGGTCTACGAAGAACACCGCTTGTCAGCTGCTTTTAAATGCAAACCCAAGAGTTAAAAGCAAATTGAAAAAAGGCGATTTCCGTGCATTGTAGAGAATTACAAAATGACTGTGTTAATAGCCATGAACCCCTAGTCAGTACTACAACTGGATGTTTCTTACTGACCTATAGCAGCTGAGGGAGATAGTGGAAATACGTGCTGCCTATCCGGTAGGTCCGTACTTTCAAATAATTTTTTCTCTAATTGGAAGTGAATAAATAAACGTCGGTTCTTTTGCTCAGACTCTTTCGTTAGTCCTAGAAGAGCGGTTGAAGACAATTTAAAGAAATTTTGGAAAACAAAGAATATTAACTTGGCCATCCAACATTTGGCGTTTTTTTTTGTGTGTGTTTTTTTTGTGTTTTTTTTTTTTTTAATAATTTTTTTATTTATTTGAATTAACAAATGCAATCTCCTTTGCTTTCACTCGTAAGCCAAGCCAATTGCTATATTAGAATGAAAGTATCAAGAAAGATTCAGGAGGGAAGAAATGAAATTACGTTTGCCAAGATTCCAATAATGTGTTTCATAACAGCAGCACTGTCAACTGTGTTTACACTAGAAACAGCTTCGCTAGTTTTGTTTCCTAGGTAACCCTTGCTTTGATAATTTTCATTGAATTTTCCCCCATCACTGTTTGCCCGTGGTTTTATTGTATTTACTTAAGGCTTGATAAGCTTTTTCTACTGTTGGAGTGATTGAGAGAACAGAAAAAGTCGTGTCCGACTTGTGGCAATTATGATTCAAACAGGATTCGTTTAACGGTCCATCGTATTACAACTAGGCGCTTGGCTCGGCTTTAGATTAATCAAATGTCCTCTATTATTCTTACTAGATACTTAATTCACACTTCCATATTCAAGTCATAAGTGAAGGGTTGATTGTAAAACTGAGCTTGGTTGTCTATTAGTTGGGCATTATTCCAGTGAACTCGTCTTGAAGTATTTAAGGACAGCTATAGCTAGAGATACCATCCATACACCAATCATTGGTCAATAGAAATTGTTTTTCTTTTTGTCGTTGCTGTTGTTGTTAAAAGGGGATGTTTCGATTTCATATGAATGGCTTTTTTTTTTCATTCACAAAAGAGATGGATTTGATGCACTTTATTATTATCATCTTTATCTTGCACGAGCACAGCTTCGAAATGTTACTGATTTAAAGGCAGTAACATTGGTTATGTTGGTATAACAGTTCAGATTATATCCTTAAGGGCACATTGAAATTTTCCAGTCCCTTCAGGTTGAAAGTCGCATTGGGATTTATGCTTCAAATTCGTTGTCCAAATTGCTGTGTTCATTTAGCATCAAGCTGGGATACTTCATAATGAATTACATAGTCTAGCAGTATAATCCCTGCTCCGCGAAAATATATATCACAATGCCGGCCGGATTTCAGATAATTTTTTTTAGCAAGTAAAATCCTGTCGAAACAAATAAATCCTTATTCGTGTTACTGAGAATTGCATCAAATCTAATTTGAATTTTTTTTTCTCTTGCCTTTGGCAAGTCATACATTAAGCAGCATCCTCCGCAATTACAGTGAGGTTGTTGCTTTACCTCTAAAACTAGAACTGCTTTCAACGTTTCACCTGTTCAAACCATCGATTAAAATAACGTCTTTTATTTACGAACACGAAAAATAACCAATAAAATACTTCTGAGAAACGTCGAGAAATATTTTTTGGGATAGTAGGAATCTGTCACGGGATAACGTAAGTACACTCTATCACTTATCGTGGTTGACATTTCATGTGAAAGTCGTGGAGAATGGAAAAGGATTAACTGAACTGAAAGAAAAATCTCAGAGATTGTTGTCAGTTGAGAGAGTCATAAAAGCAAATAAATATTTTCAGTTGCTCCTGATCTTTTTAGCTAAAACACAAGTCTTCTTTAAGAAAATTAGGAGTGCATGGTTCTCAAAAAAGCTTTTGGTTCATTTATTGCATTTGAAAATCAAGAATTCCAGTCATTTTCTTTTTACTTCGGCGTCGTTTTGGTGACACATATCTGTTCAAACAACTGGGCATTTTATGAATCAAGGTCGCTTCTATATACTTGCAAAGAAAGGGAAATTTCGAGAATTCGCAGAAGAGCTAGCACATATTCTATGTACGAGAAGCGAAATACTAAATTCTGGAGGACAACGGAAGGTGTTCCTAAAACAACCATATCTATTAGTACCTTGATCAAACACACAATATTAAATTGCCTTAGCTTGTTTTGAAGCCCAAATCAATTCGCTACTCATTCGACCAAGGCCGTAGAGTAGGAAAGGTGTAAAATCAAATCTAGCAAGCCCTGTAAAAAAGAATATGTCAGTCAAATATCTTTAATTGACACGGCTTCGCTATCACAATGAAACAAGCTAAGTTATTATTTCACAAACGCGCATATTCAAACCTTGAGCACTTCCGTTTTGGTAAGACACGAAATTTAAAGTCACATGAATATTAATGAGTCAGAAGGCTTTTTTTCTATTTATGGCCAAAGAAAATAAGGTGTTTTTGTTCACGTCAACGTCAACTGGGTCATAATCATAAAGTATTTAGATTTGGTTGTTTTTTCACAGAAGGACTGAACATCCCATCCATGTTGGCACAATACGGACGCTACTCGACACACGAAAAACACAGTTAACAAAATCTACAAACCAAGCAACCGAAGAATAAAAGAGGGCGAACACTTGAAGAGAAAATCTTCTGGGTCTCCAAGGCTTATTTTTACAAGAGGAAAATTGAGATTTTTTTGGAGGAGAAATAACGGCGTTAATACTACTGTTTATCTGGAACTTTCTGATTTACTTATCCAATGATTTACCAGCAGAAATAATACACCTGGAATATATAGTATCGTGCCCCGGAAACACACAGTCTTTTTCTTGTCAGAACTCGCGTATTTTTGCGTCGTTGGGAAGTCGATTACTTAAACCGTAAGGGAGCCATAAACACAAGATTTTGTTGCTCGGTTAAGGTTTGGCAAAAAGAAGTGCGGAGTGACTGGGTGATATAATCACTGTTTGTATTTGGTGACAAGATCTTAGCGCGGAAGTCACTAGATTATAAAACTGAACTCAAAACGGTTTGTCAAGACCCAAGGAGCCGGCTGTTCAGCTACTGGATAAGGGTAGAATTTCTCAGTGCAAGAACGGTCAGTGCTTGACATTTTACTCTTGTACACAAGCCAGTCATGACTGGAATCCCAGGCAATAATTCTACAGGTTCTTTAGTACCACAGAATCCATTTCATTTTGAGTTTATCCCTTGGGCATTTTTTAACATTTTAGTAATAGTTTGCGGAGCTTTAGGCAATATATTGGTTGTACTGGCGTACAGGAATCCGAGGATGAAGACCGTTACTAACCTCTTTATTGCAAATCTTGCATTTGCCGACCTGAACGTCGTTCTAATCAACGTGCCGATGAACATCTTAAAAACCGGACTAGAAACATGGCCGTTTGGTGGGGCTATATGCAAGATCGTGACATCTTTACTTGCGATCACATTGGCTGCCTCTGTGGGTTCTCTTATAGCCATCGCTGTAGATCGCCATCGAGCTATAGTACATCCACTCAAACCACGAATGCGTACAAGACATGCTTTCTACATCATCATAGCTATATGGATATCAGCAATAGCTTTAGCAACTCCTTTGTTAGTCTTCTCTAAAGTTAATAGCCAGGGGTGTCTCGAGGACTGGCCGTCCGGCACTGTGAATTGGCAGCAAGTATATTCAGTGTTACTCTTCGTTACCATGTATGTCCTACCCCTAGGAACTATGAGCGGCCTATACTTAATGATCTACCTTAACCTCATGGAGAAAAAGCCACTGCAAAAAAGTAAGTAATGAATTAATTTTCAAATTATTGTTTGGTTATCGATTTTTTTTATTATTCATAGTTTCATTTTCTTCTTTTGTGCTTGAAACGAGATTTTAGATGTTCGACTGCACTGTGTTGTTTTCTAGTCATAAGCGGTTTTGAAATATTGCGGACCTATTTTGATGAAGCCATCGCAAGAGATTGACAAATTTAGATGTCCTTGAAAATGAGACAGTTCGTGGCTACTTTAATCTTAGCTAAACAGCTATCGTTCTATTCAATATTTTTTCTATACACTAGCTATATATGATGTGTAATTTGTACTTGCTTGCTCAATACCAAATTGATGCTTTAAAGGGCTTTTTTATGGCACGGAAGATCTCTTCACTTCATGCGCAAATTTAGGAGAAAAAAATGCTTATAAAAAATATCTTTTAGAAAATATATTTTTAAGAATTCAAGAAAATAAATTTAGAATTTATCAAAGGGCGAAGCGAAGGTGATCGACGATTTGAAGCGCGAAATTTAATCGTATTTTTTAATTGGCTGAAAACTTCATCACCCAACGACTGACCTTATGAATATCCTGGTAGTTTATTTTTTCAGTTATGTCTGTCTGGCAGACGACATTGTACGGCTTTTTGGCTTTATTTTCGTTTCTTATTTTCATGTGTATGAGACATGAGAACCCATTGAGCGACACAATTGATTGGTTTCTGTTTTTGTTATTCTATATATACACTGCTGAATGAAAATTCATATTCAACTAATCTGTAATTTCCATAAAAAATATGGATTTTTACAATCTGTTTCGATTTGATATTGGAAGTTCTGCGTAGAATTATAGTTAAAAAACACAAAGAAAATAGAACAATTGATGAGGCCATAAAGCGACCTACTTAAGCTATATCAGCGACTCCATGTTTTTTGGTTAAATTCTAAAGTTTCCTCATTGATTCGACATATTTGCTTTTAAAAAATTATTGCTAAGAAGAGTCATTTTCCGCTTAAGGATTAACAGTTGAAGAATGAACGGAAATAAACTAGCTAGCGGATTGACTTGAGGAATCGTGTGTCCGATTTCAGCCCACGAAACTGAAGCTTTTTCACAGTCCTCTTAATAGTGAATGATGTCGAAAATCCAAGTCAAACAAGGCCATTAGAATTAGAGGATGGTGCCTTAAGATACAAGAAAATACGTTAAGCAAATGTGTTTTAACTGCGGCGGAAATTTGTTGGGTCAATAATAGTATAATCGTACTTCAAAATAATACAGCTTGGTTTTAGCGCTCGTCTTCATTCATCTTATGGCTTCAAAATTAGAAGAGGTTCTCTCTGACAGTTCACCAAATAGAGTCACTTAATGAGTTTATTTGCTAAGTTGACTAGAATATTTATTATTCATGAAAATGAAAGCCGGGCAAAAAACGTTCTTTCATGGCAAATCGGATGAACAACTTGGTTTTTATGGCTCTCTGTGATATTAGAGACTTTGTACTGAATTTTTTAAAGGATAATTTAATTAAGATTCTCGAGAGGCTCAACTAAATTCATATTTAAATCTATCTGGTCTTAGTTAGAAATAAACTTATAAACCACTTTTTGTAAAACCGGACAAAAACAAACAAAAATTAAGTTAGATAACCAAATAAAGCCTTTGTTAGGTTACCAAACAGTTCAACATTTATTTTAGATGTTATTGAAACTGCATTCATTCAAATTTACCGTTCAAAATATTCAATAAATCACCGTGTTTGTTTGGAGATATTTCTGCACGTTTTGGCAAGAGCTTCAAGGGCTCATTCGTCAACCTGACACAATGCTGCCTCGATAGTTGACATTTTCTCTTGAATAAAAATCAACAGAGTAATACTTAGTTGCCAATATTAGAAAAACAAACGACAAATTGAGCCGGTTTACATTCACCCTTTTTTTTTCCTTTTTATTATTCATATCGAGTTTCCTGTGTATCTTCTTCGTGTTTTAACACGTCGTTTTTTACTTGTTTTGAGTTCGCTTTTTCATCTTAACTTTATTCATTTTTTTGAAATATATATAAAGCATTATTTATTCATATATATCAATATAAAAATAAAAATACACACGTTCTGTTCACACTATTCTTCGAAGTGTAGCAAATCATGCAGTTTTATAATTTATACTTGTGGTTGAATTGCATCGTATCGATATACGTTTTCAAGAAACTAAACTTAAAACTATTCCTGCAGTGTTAAACGACTTTTCACGGTCCTTGCATGCAAAACTCACTGCAATCACATCACGTTAGACCCTTTGGCGGGAAAAGCTGTGGTTTGGGTAAACTACCAATATTGACGTGATATTTTTGATATTTGTTCATTGGTGTAAATTTTCATTACAATATTTCTTATTTATTCAAACATTTTGTTTTTCCCAGTATATTTGTTTCAAACGATTATGCACACCTTACAAAAACATTATTTATATTACTTTAATATTGACGATATTACACGTTAATAATTTATCTAATATTTATTGGGAGGAGTTATGAATCACTTTGAAGGAGCTTGACGCTCGATCTTTCAGGTCATGCAATACATAAAAGCATCAAAATTGGGGAAAACTCCACATATCCCCAGTACAGAAATAAATCCAGTGATGTGAGCTCAAGACATTTTTGCCAGAATCTTTGCATTAATTATCGGGGTAGAAAAATATCTGAAGTCGGGATAATCGGCTAAGCTGTTTAATCTGGATGGAAAGGTTTAGCACGTATATAGTTGTGCATATCAGTAAAAGTTACTATTCACGAAGCTTTGAAGACACATAATCTCTCCGTCACGGGAAAGCAGATTTGGAAAAATCTCTCAGCAAATATGACTGACAAAATTTAAACATTTAAGTGCTTTCCATTTTGAAGGAAATTAGATGTTTTCATTAGACTTTGATGATGTTTTTTAGCCACTCCAGTTTGTTTGCAAAACACGATCTTGTCTTGGACATGCCTTGGGTAGTTATAATCATAATAATCGACAACAGAAATGAGCAAGTGAGTGGATGGATGGATGGATGGATGGATGGATGGATGGATGGATGGATGGATGGATGGATGGATG